CACAGTCATTCAGCCAGAGTCGACCCACAGAGACCTGCTGAATTATGCAAATGTCCGTGCTGACTCTGCTCTCTACGCATGTGTGTGTGTGTGTGTGCTCTACGCATGTGTGTGTGTGTGTGTGTGTGTATGCATGTGCGCGCATCAAGTTATAAAATAGTAAAATGCCTCCCACATCTCCTCCCATTTCCTCACACCAGGACAAATATGCACTTCAGGGACTTCAGGGAGGTTACCTCTCTGTGACAGCTACATCCAGGTGTGTGTGTGTGTGTGTGTGTGTGTGTGTGTGTGCGCACGCGTGTGTGTGTGTGACATGTCTCCAAGACAAAATTACAGTTGGCACCTTTGTAATATCTCCCTTTGTCTTGTTTCTCTCTTCTGGTCTCAGCTTTTCTGTCTTCATTTGTCATTGATTCATCTCTCCACTTCTTTCTGCTTCTCCCTCACCTCCCAACCTTCCTCCCTTCACTCCGTCGTTTTATTTTCTTTCCTCCTCCTGACATGCTTCCAGGCTGTGTTGCTGAGACCTCCAATTTATCCAGAGGGATTTGTGGTCAACACCCCTGTCTGCTATTCTCATTATTCCCGCTCTCCTTCTTGCCTCAATTCATCCATCCATCTCTCTCTCTTTTGCTCTGTGATTCCCTTATGAACACTTCTTCCCGCTGTCAGCCTGTTCCCTTCACTCACCTCTTCCCCTCTGAACCTCGTTTTTCTCCCTCTGGCTTCCAGCTCTCTTCCGCCCTCTTCACAGCTCATTCTTTCTATCAGTTTAATGCTTGACAACCTAACATTTTGCACTTTCTGTTTTCCAAATATTGTTCATGTTTTTCATTTCAAAGTACCTCTTGCTCCTTTCTCATGTTGCATTCCTTCATCCATCTTTGTTCCTCTTGAGTAAAGTTTTTCATTTTTATACGACTTGGCTTGGTTCCAGTGGTGCAATGACCACAGAGAAGTCTGCCAGCATTTCTGAGGACTACATGATTACAACTGGATTGCTTTAACATTTATTAAAAAGAAAGTCAGCAGAAAGTCTCAAAGTATTTAAGATGCAGGCTATATGTCTCAAAGTAAGACTTTATCATGTTTTTAACTTTGCGGACAAAATGCTTTTCTGTTTCATGATATTGATGACTTCTGATGATTCTTAAAACAATGAATGCTACTCTCTCCAGAAACACGCAGACAACTATCCACACACTCACATCTGAGGGCAATTTAGAGAAACCAATTTACCAAAAAGTTATGTGTGTGGACTGTGGGAGGAAGCCAGATGGAGGTAGTCTGCACAGGAAGAACGTGAAAACTCCTTGCAGAAAGATGCCAAGTCAGGATTCGAACCCACGACTGTCTTGCTGCAAGGCAACAGTGCTACCAATTGCACCAGCCATAAATAAATAGTGTAAATACATAAAAAGTAGAAAAAAAAATGTTTTTGTAACCTTGTTTTTTCTTAAAGCAACTGCATTCAGAACCGGTTCCTGCTTAAAACATGTTTTCAAGACTTTGTGTTCAGCATTACCCAGCTCAGGTTGGACCCGCATGAGTTTGTCTTTTTTGATTAGTGCAAATCAAACACCAAACCTCAAATTTACTACTTTTGTCGTACATCAAGCATTTTTTTGCAGTGCTTGCACTGTACAATGTACACACGAGATGTGCAAAAAAAAAAAACAATGTAAGAAATAATATTTTCCTTTTTTTTTCTAATTTTGGAGATTTGCACTACCCCCAGGGTCGTGCTGTCCTGGGAAGTCAGGCATGTTTTCTATTTTAAAAACTGCCTTTTATTTCATCCACCAATACCTCCACAATGGTGTTGTAAGAATGATGTAGCAGCCTTGAAATGTTGGTTATGTTTTTCAGCATCTTTGGTCTTGCACCTTTGTTTTTTTATGTTGTCTTAGGTCTCTGGGTACAACTATAAAAATATTTATTATTTTTAATAGCCAACATTTCTAACTTAATTTTCAATGATTTGTTCTCTGAAGATCTGTGTTTGTCCTGACTGTACAGGATTTCCAAATAGGGGCAACATATGTCTGAAAATTATCCTTCGTGTTAAAGTCAGTTTGAGTCCCTTTTGGTTCAAAACAGGCATTAAACGACATTATCAAAACCATTAAAGATCACACAAATCATCAGGATGTTGCGTGACAGCAGCACCACCCCTATGGGCTGCCTCCCAGATGTTTAAGTGACTGGAGTGAAGTGGATGGTTTATTAAGGGCCACTCATCTGAGACAAATGTTAACATGCAAGAAAAATGAGGTCGAAAACGCACCCATCTATGAGTATGCGTGTATAATGTCTGTAAGTATTGCATTTACAAGGAAAATTGCACACTTAATGCACATTTAATAGCTTTATTTAGAAACTTTTAATCATTGTGTCTCCCATTTATTGAATAGTTTTACTTTTACTAGTTATTTCAGAACACCTCTAAGAATCATAGCATAGTTGAACAGCAATCGTTGATGACTTTCTCAGACACAAAGCAGCGGAAGAAAGCATAAAATATGGCGTGCTGACGGACGGAAGGAAAGAGGAATGGAGAAGGTGTAACAAAAAGGGGAAGACGGATATTAAACAGATGTAAAGATGGATGAAGAGATTTTAGGAGAAACAGGGAAGGAGAGTAGAAGATAAAAAAGTAACAAAAACACTGATGGATAAATACATAATTACAAAAACAGAGTCTGAACATTTGTAAACAAAATTACTAAAAACCGAGGATGCAGAACAGTTGCAAAGGCTAGTTAAGTAATTTTCACAGAGGACAAGCAGTGAATTAGTTGACATTCACTCAATTTAATGTAGCACAGCTTACCGTAAATATCTCAACGCACATTAGAAAACAAATGATGTAACTCGCACAAATTTGAAGTCAGTTCAGTCCCATGATTTAGAGAGATTCATACTCTTTGACATACATTTCAATTTGCTTTTAGTGATAAATGGCCGACTTGTTACACAAACTGGTAATTAAGTTTAAATCAAATCTCCAAACAGTTCTGTAATTCTAAATATTTGGTTTGCCTCCATTCTTTCACAATGAGATAATGATTCTCAGACCTACATTTAATGAAGTGACTGATCATCTGAACGGCAGTATGCACCAGGGAGCAAAGAGGGTCAAAACATCCATACCAGCACCAAATGTTTTCTGCTACAAGCTGGCGTTGATTTATTCTAGACACATTCTCACTACACACACACTCACACACACACTTCTCCCATTCTGTGTATCTGTTGGTATTCAGCTTTCTAGGGTTATTGGGGAATCAAAGAGGATTATGGGTGGTAACACCAGCGACTAATCTGGAAGCACTGGTCATTAATCTGTTTTGCATGTTTGATTTTATTTTTTTTTTCTATTGTTTCAAATCGTAGTCTGGTGTCAGCATGCCATTAAACTGCAGTTGCTGAATGAAATACATTAAAACTACATAACAGTTTCTGTAAATCCTAACTGCAATAAAAACCCTGCAAGTTTTGCAAATTTTCATGTTTATTGAGATGATAAAAGGTGGAAACTTCTGCTCATGTTTAAAGCTGCTGAACACATTAGCAGGAGACAGAATTTCTTTAGGTTCTTTTCACTCAGTCATTCCCATATGTTTCATTTCCTTCACTGTTTTATCCATCTATCATTTCTCTGGGAGTCTTATGGGATCTTTAGTCCACAAAGAGACCCCAGATGGTCACACTAAGCAAAACACATGCATCTGCTAGTATGTGCATTCATTAGCGTTCGTTAAGGAATAAGCGTTTACAGCACAAGGCTAGACGTGGCGATAGACCACAGTGAGACCACAGACATGGGGAAGAATGGCTGCAATGGAAAAAAAAAAACCCAACCACAGCCACTGAGCTACTCTTCTAATTGGATTACGTTTTTACCCATTAAGACCCAAAAAGCTGCGTGGTTTGTTTCTACCTTGAAACCGCAAAACTGCAGCATGCTCACTGAAGATATATCATGATTTTACACCTCTGGCAGAAACAACTCGGGGACCTGCTCAGCCATGTTTCCATTCAGCAGGGCTCTGACCAGAAAGTAACACGAAACAGATGTGATGTGAAAAACAGAATGAAGAAAGTATAAATGTATTTACAGTCGAGTCAGCTTCAGGCTTGGAGATACCAGTTCTCTCTCTTAGACTTTGTTGTAAACCTTTAAAGGGCTCCAGCTGAATGCCAGTTGAGCAGTTTAATTGGAGACACTGGTTAAAAATTTGGTTTGTGGTCAATTACAGCTGCGTATGGTGCCTTGCAAGTGATGCAAGACATCTGCATTCCACTGTAAAGTGGAAGGAAAAGGACAAATGATGCAAAACATTTTAAAAGTAAAATACTAAACAGTGTCAAATAGTTTTTCTATTCCTGATTCAATACTTTTTAGAACAACCTTTTGCAGTTAAAACTGCAGGTGATTTGAGATAATGTGTCTACCAGCTGTTCACATCTATAGACAGAGATTTTTGCCAAAGCAAGCTCTGTACGATAGGATTGGCAGTGCATCATTTGTCAAGTCTTGTCACAGATTCTAAGTTGGATATGGGTCTGAACTTTGACTAGTCCATGATTTATTTTTTTTGCAACAATGCCTTTTTCTTGCCACTCTTTCGTAAAATACTTTGGACGTTTCGCTGTATGCCCTGCTTTCAACTTCTGCACAACTTCACCCACAGCCTGTTTGGTGTGTTCATTAATCCAGCTTTTGTAAATATTCTCAAACAAACCACTGATTCTTTCCCAGAACAGCTGTGTTTCCAGTAGAAATAAACTGCACCATAGACAGACTTTGAATTTAGCAATTAGGTGGCCTCTGAATGTGATTGGATGCACTGGATTTTACTTAACGGGTGCCTGTCATGTAAAATCTATGCAAAATACATTATTTGTGCTTATAATGTTACAAAATCTGAAAAATAGCAGATGAAGTACACAATCACAAATGTTTTCCAGTTGTAACCAGCTGTTCTGCTCACCTTGTGATTCTTGCCGTGCCTGTAGATCATCCAGTCTTCTCCATTAGTACTCACTTCCAGCTTGAAGGAGGAAACGTAATAAATATTCTTAGTTTCCTTCGAGATGGCGCCCTGAGTGGCGATCCCTGTGAGGACCTTTAGAGTATGGAGGTCCACCTGTTGGTAAAAGAAGATGGATTTAGCCTTAGGAAGTTGACTTGTTGTACTCCAGCATTTTGCATCTTTCTGCTTTTTTCCTCCTCCTCCTTCTCTGCTTCTTTGTGCTTCTTGCACTGCTGAGACTCTCTCCCAGCAAATCAATGGTTATGACCTGCGGCTCATTTTAATTTCCTCACATACAATAAGTATAATCACGTCCCATGCTAATTGTAGATGTTAAGCTGTGTGTCTGGTACACTACTGGCTGTGTTGTACTAAATATACAGAGGTGCAACTGTTTTTTTTCTGTCACTAAAGCAGTGATGTGAACAATGCTGCAACAACATTTGAAAGTTGCTGAGCATTTCATAAAATCTATTCATAAATTCAACATAAAGAATAGCATTTTCACAAATTTTCTTGAAGATCATAAAATGGAAAACAACTGCTTATTTATTAACAGAAAAATGATTTCCAGATGAATGGCACAGGTATGTAAATACGCTTGTCTTATGCCATTCTGCGATAATCCTCAATGTTTATAGACTTTTATAAAGATTATTCACAAATTGTGTTGAATTCATTGTTTGATCAAAAAATCCATTCTGTCTAGTTACATATGTAGCACACTGGATATAAACCATAATACTACCAACAATATGCTCTAAAATAAGGTTTTTATAATGGAGCAGCATTCCTATCATCATGTGTAAGGATTCACTGTTTTTGATGGGAAATAATTGCTCTTGTCAACCCAATTTAAAAATTCAGCACAAATGAATCACAACTGATACTAAAAAGTTAGAGCTGCTGCACTTGAAGATTTCTTACTAAAACACATCAGCTTCAGGCTTCAGCTATCTCAATTTAAGACAGACAAATAGAGAGGAAAAGATGAGAAAGGTCCTACTATTGGTCAAAACATTTATTCTCCTCCAAAGGAGCTGTTGAAACCTGCTGATTAATCTGAGACTGCTGTGTGAATGTGCACTGTTATGTCCCACATGGGTAAAGTACAAAACACCGGGGGAGGGAAAATGCTGCGTTTGTTATCTGTCAAGAAGACAGGTGTTTTAGATTACTTCCAACACACACACGCGCGTTTCTGCACTGGTAGGGCAAGAACAAGATACAGCAAGACAACTAATCAATAGTTCAGGGCAGAGGATGAGGGGAGAGGAGATGGAGAAGTAAGGAGAAAGGTAGAAAGAGAGGGAGAACAAGAAAGGAAAGAACAGAGGTGAAGAACAAATGAAAGAGGGAGAAATGCTAAGTGAGTTTTGCCAGGGAGGGTTCCTCATCAATCACAGAGCTGTTAGAATAACGGAGCCACAAGAACTCCACCATCAATCTGTACTGCACCTCAGTGAGCGTACGAAACACAACAGAAAAGAATGGAATAGAAATTTCTCGCACCAAAATAACACATGCACTCTGAGGTCTTAGACACCATAATTGGTACGATGTAATTAGAAGAAACCTGCTGAATGAGAAGAATATGCACTCATCAGGGTTCTGTCACTGTTTGTTCAGTGGTAAAGTAGCTAAAAGTCTCTGGCCCTGTGCAGACCTGGCATCAACATCCATTCTGGCAGGTGACCTATTATGTTTCCTTGAAAAGGTTGGTGTTGGTCTTTATGGGCAATACAAAACATCTTCATTACATTTTTTCGCTCAAAGTTGTTCAATTGGTTTTTAGTCTGCTCAGTTCTCAGCTGTTCTAGGGACTCTTGTCACTTTAAATCCAAGTAAGCGTTTATAATCACACATGAAAATGGCAGGAAAAAATATGCAATCATGCAACCGTGTTTTTTGAAAAGCATTAGTAAAGCCTCCTGCATTATGCTTACAGGCATGCTTGTAAAGATCATAAACCGCAAAAGATAACCCATCTGAAACTAAACCAATCTGTCTTTAGATGTGCTGGCCTCTGGCAAACCTGAAGCTTTAGGCAGGCTTTGGAAGACTATCCAAAGGTGCCAACCAGCAGCATAATCTGTTGTTTACAGTGTGCGCCTATTCGAAAAGTCCCCTCTCTGGCTGCCCGGGCTAAACCTCACCTTCACTTTCTCTCCCTGAGCCAGACAGCCTCATAACTCAAGCTTAGCTCAGGGACAGAACAAAGCTGGCACTGTGACAGAACGCCGGAAACAATGCCTCACACACCCATGCAGCTAAACCCAAACACCACTCTGCCTCCCTCCCACTCACAGCTATCTCTCCCTCAAACCCTGACACAAATATATCAGTGATAGAGTTATTATGTCAACTGTGGATGAAAGACGATGTAAAAGTTGGCGCACCATCTGTTTTTAGGTTAGGTACAGGAAGGTTTTTAGAGATGTTATGACAGAAGTATTTAAGGCATAGCGTTTCAAATTAGTGCTGCAATCTAATCTAAGAAGCTAAAGTTCTGACGTGATGACTTAAAGAAAACCCTTGTGATACGCGTTACTGAATTACTCTTCCTTCCAACATGAAGGAAAGACTAAGTACAGCTGTCCTGATCAACTTTATTTGATTAATTGAACATACGCAAGTCTGACCGGCTCTAAGATCAGGAGGTTTTGCAGTTGTGTGCTAACACAATGGAACAGACAAAAGATATCACAAATGAACAAAGAGAAAAAAATATATCTGGTGCCCATCAATCAGGGGAGGATTATAAGGCCATTTAAAAACAATTTAAGTGTAGAAAGTTGCCAATCTCCCCAGGAGTTAATGTCCCAGAAAAATCACCCCAAGGGCAAATGGTACGACGTTCAGAGAAATTATGAAAAAAACAAGAGCTGTACGACAGACTCTACAAACCTCATTTAGATTTGACAACAATAAAAGCAAGATCAGAAAAGCCTTGCTTTTTTTTGTAAGGATTGCCAGGAAAAAGCCTCTTCTGTTAATCATTTGGTTTAAAAATTAAAATGTTTTTGGCATCTAGAATTGGTTTTACATGTTTTTTAGACGTCTAGGTGTATGTCTGTTTTACCCTAAACTGTCCAGTTAACTGGGCAAAAAAGTTGGCCAGTTAACTGAGAAAAGAATGAAACTGCCCATAAATACAAAATCATTGAGTTTAAGCTTATGCTATTTGAAATTTGTGCATTGGTTTCATCAGACGTTTTTGCAGAACTTGTGAATTTTTAACTACATCTAAGTTTACAACACTTTTAGACCAGGCAAAGTTGCAAAATGTATAGTTTTTTTTTTATGTCAAAATAATTTTAAGATATCACCTTTAAAAGAGGTTCTACTTATTTTTTTCATGATCAGAGTTAACAGCAAACTCATACCTGTATGTACTCCCTGTTGTTGTCTTCAGCAGGCGTCCACCCATTTTCTCTATAATTGAGTCGGGCTTGACGCGGCAGCCAGTTTCCATCATGGAAACTTGAAGAAGCCATGATCTGCTCGTCTGTGATCTTTCCTGACTCCATTCCTAAGGCATTGCTGCAGTGGAAAGCTAAAGATGGGTAGGAGAGATGTTGGGAGGAGATGATTAAGACTCAAACTCATGTTTTACTTCTGGATCACAACTGAAGACTTCAAACTTACTCTCGCTGACTTCCTTGTGCGTCATGTTGTATCGAGCGGAGAAGCCATCTTTAGCCACAGCCATGTCAGTGTGGAAAGCCAGCGAGAGGATCCCAGTGGATGACTGGATTTCAGGAGGTACTCTGGTCCCACAGTATCGGCCAATCAGAGGGCCCACTGTTAATCCAATAAGAATCCGTAGATTAACCAATTTTGCCATTAAAAATTTAATTTGCCAGAAAATTGGACGCTGTTTGCCAATTTTCCTTTAAATATTAGTCAGACTCTTAACCAAATCCTCCGACTGTGTTAGTCACACGATATCACTCCTCCTCTGATACATTTTCAGACCCTTTCATCCTTTAACCCACATATTTTTCTCTATCTGTTGTTACTTCCACTGTTTTATCACTCATCTCCATCACTCCCTCCAGCAGCGACGTCTGCTCATCCTCCCTCTGTCTTTATATCTCTGCCTTTTATCTGTCATCTTCACTTCTAGACTAAAACACATTTTCACAACATGCACCATAAATGAAAGGATTTGGTATCAACTCAAATATCCATGTGGTTCCCCTGCTATCTTATTTTAGATCATGCAATGCCATAACATTAACATAAACAGATTAATTACAGTGTTTACAGTGTTCCTTGACTATTTTACATTTTGTATTGCCAACACAAACGACTGCATTTTGTCCTGATTTTAAGTGACAGGGCAACACAATGTGGAGCAGGATTCTGAAGAGACAGGAAAAAAAAAACAAGATTTTCAAAGAATTTTGGATGTAAAATCTGAAGCTGAGGCATGCATTTGTATCAGCCTCTCCGGATTCACTTTAGTTGCAGCTGGAACACTTTTTAGGCTTTGTCTCTGTGAGCTTTGTACATCTAGTGACTACAATTCACCTATTCATTTTTGCAAAAATAGCTCAAGTTAAGTCACGTAGGATGGAGAGCATCTGTGAACATTAATTTTCAAGACTGGGCCAACATGTGAATATAATTTTGTGTTCAACCACTTCATTGTTACTTTGGCTGTATGTTGAGACCGATTTTCTGGCTGGAGCTAAGCATTCAACCCGCTCTCAAATTATCTGCAGATTCTATTTTTTCTTGTCTTCTGTTTAGCTCTATATGTCGTTCCAGTTCCTCCTTAAGGGCAGCACATCCAGAGCATGATGTAGCCACCACCAGGATGGATTCCAGGTGATCCACAGTGTTGGTTTTAAACCACGAAAAGCTCTATGCCAAAACGTTTGAATATAGTCAAAGCTAAGCAGGGCACACCCTTGCATGTTTGCTACTCTTTTCTTTAAAACCAGATTTGTGCGGTGCATGTCTAACAAAATGTTCTCTAACAAAATACTGAGGTTTTCACAGAACAACTGAATTCCTTCCTTTTTAATGATTTGGTAACTTCTATTTAGTTTTATTGAATCATGTTGAGCGGAACCAGCATTAATGGGGTGATTGCAAAATCTGTTTACATTTTTCTCATTTTTATTCACAATTATGCACCACATTGTGTTTGTATGTCACATAAAAATTTTTAAAGAAGGTAGACTGAAGTTTGCGCCTGTAAATACTTCTGCGAAACACTGCAGACCTCAGACTCATGACAGAAACCTTTAACCATGTCACTCACACAAGATCCCTCTCGAGTTGAGATAGAGATCTGTCTTCAAATCCCTTCATCCCTTAACCCTCAAATTTGTCTCTATCCGCTGTTACTTCCACTGTTTTATCACTCATCTCTATCACTCCCTCCAGCAGCGACGTCTGCTCATCCTCCTGGTGTCATCACCTCTCTTCCCTTCATCTATCATCTCCATCTCTGGACTAAACACGGTTTTACAACGTGCAGTAAAAATGTACACGGAGTTTACATGTTAATCCAAAGATCTAAGTGATTCCCTGTGCCGTTTTTTTTTCCTCTCTAGCAGACTACCTACCGTACCACAAAATGTCAATGCCTCAACGTAAACAGAAGGTTGTGATTCAAAGCCCAGAGGTGTGTGTGTGTGTGTGTGTGTGTGTGTGTGTGTGTCAAAAAGGGAGGGTGTGTGATGAGATAGTACAACATTCATCCTGCAAACTCCCAGCTCCAGAGATATACACATGAAGAAGAAGAAGAGGAGGAGGAGGAGGAGGAGGAGAAAAAAATAGCTGGCGATCGAACAGCACTATTGATTTTTTTCCCTTCCCTTTTGGAATTGTTGGATATTTGAAATACGTCTCTTGACAATGGCAATAACTCTTTTCTTGTTGGTGGCGAGGAGCAGGGAAAACAAGGAAAAAAGACAAGCAAAACAAAGCGAAAGTAAAATACAGCGCAATTACATTTCTCTAACAAGATTTTGTGTATTTACAGCTTGCTTTACAGACAGGGCTCATCTCATTTCCTTTCCATCCCCAAGGTTGATAGATGAGCCTGAAAGCAAACAGTTGACTAGTCAGTTCATCTGAGGAGATAAAATCTAAGCATACCAATGCTTGTATGTACACTGAAGTAAATATAGGAACAGTTTAAGCTCATCTTTCAGTTTTCTCTCTCTTGCCTTATTTGATTTGTTGTTTAATCGAGTGAAAACTGACTTCTGAGGCTGTTTATCTCTGCTCCCATTAACTGAATAAACTGATTTAAGGCCGTCTTTTAGCATCCACTCCCTTCGCCACTGTGATTTAACCCAATACTGTCTCAGAGTCTTTTTTTCCCTACTCACTTTTCCTTCTAAGAGCCAAGATGAGTTTCACCATTTTATAAATTTGAATAATGCAGTTTCACATTAATAAGATAAAAGGACTTGAAAACGTTACAAAATCTTGAAGTAGATTTCAAGTTGCATATTTTGCAGAATATTGTTGCTGTACAAAAGTATTTATCCCCTTATAGATTGTGTAACATTTAGATATTTCAGATCAACCAAATTTAAACATTAAAACAAGAATAACTGGAGTAAGTACAACATAAATGTTTCCAGGCAGATGATTTTCTCTTTCTGGAAAAGCTGGCTTTTATTAGCCAGCTGACCACCAGTCCACAGCAACAAGTGAGGAAGGGCAGCTCTAAAACTCTGGTCACTGTCCAGAATCTAATTAAAAGCATTTTAAATCGTATAAAGGGTGTTGCATAATTTTTTATTTTTTTGTGTTTTTGAAACCTGGTGTCACTTTATGTACTTTTTAGGAACAAACCAAAAGTCCTTCATTTCTTTCTCTTACCATTAAATTCCCTCCACTTTCATCTTGTTTTGGAATCTTCCTCCATTATTGTACGCCACAGCATTTATTTTCATTGTTTTCTTCTATTCCTTTTTCTTAAAATGTTGGAAAGAAGCAGCTTCTTTTTATTCCTTCATCCATGTAAGCAGCATTTCTTCTCTGCCCTGCCTTGCCATTGCCCTGCAGGCTGAATTCATCGCTGCACTAAAGCTCATTGCAAGCAGCTGTTGGTTCTCCTTTCTGTGATGTTCGATTCCTCTTTGGCGATCAATTGTTTAACCTCTCCTGACTTGGCAGCTGTTAATCTTTTTGATCAGAACTGTCCATTTTTAGAATAGAGGAAATTAGAAGTTATTCATGAGGGCAGGAGTAGCTTGAATAAAGAACAAATCTTTGGGCAAACCCCCTTCCCCACTTTTCGGTCCTGCTTTCAGAAATCCTGTTTATCCTTTCCCGAAGTCAGGCCACAAATCTCCCGACCTTGATCCTCAGTCCAACATCTCTTGCTTTGTTCCTGTATTTCCAGCTGCAGAGGGGTTTTTTTTTTTTTCGCTGCCTTTCCACAAACGCTTCCAGCTCGTTCTTTTCATTCCATTGCTTGAAAGAAGAGACAAGGTCTTTGCACCTTATGGATTACTCTCTGTGAAATCTCCCAATTTTTCAAGCAGCTACACCAGAAATATCTTCACCATCTCCCATTCTCCTTCTCACCTCCAATCCCTTTTGTCCCTCTGCTTAACATCTCCTATTTTATTTTCCCCTTTAATTTTTTTTCCACAACAGGTGCCAGCATCCTGCCTGAAAGCTTAGCTTTTATCTACCAACACATAGCTGCTAAAATAGTCTCGGCTCTACTGCAGTCAATAAGGATGTAGGCAGGGCACTTTTTCACTGTACTGACTCAGAAGGCAGGTGAGGTAGTGCTGAACATCTCCATGAACAATATTCAATGGATTTACCAAAAATAATACAAATATACAGTATCTCACAAAAGTATCCACTGCCCTTTAACTTTTGCAGTCTTTTTTATCATGTAGCAACCATAAACTTTGATGTATTTTAATGCGATTTTGTGTGCTAAATAAACACAAAATAGCAAATTTCACTATTGTGAAGTGAAAGCAGAAGGATACATGTGTCCTAAAAATGTGGCACCAATTAACACTGGTATACCTAGATAAACTCAACAAAGAGCCTTTAGAATTTAATTACTGAGTGTAATTTAATTTCAGTAGAAAAAAAAAACACAGTTCTTTGAATGCCTCTGAAGTTTGTTTGTTGCTTACACCAAGCATGGTGATGGCAGCATAATTAAGCTATAATAGGCTATGCAGAAGTTAAACTTCATAAACATAATCTTACAAACTATTTTTGGTCTAGTGTCTAATGCAAATGGCTTAGTACACTTGAACTAAGACTAAACTAACTTACATGTAACTTTTCTGCATGAAATAAGAGCTTGTTTTAGTAACTACTGAATATTGATGAAAAGTACAAATTCTACTGGCAGATTATTAAGTGGATTAAGCTACAGTGTCTGACTTTTTGCTGTAAGAGCAGTAAAAAGTTATTGAATAAAAGTGAAACCTCAGGACAGCTAAACAGAAATGCATTTTTCTATTTATTTAACAAAATAGAATAAAACCATGGTTTGTTTTCCTGCCACTACAAAGCAACTTGATAATTTGTTGGTCTATCAGTTAAAGTCATGCCGTACCTGCTGGAAGTCCATCCCACACTTCCAGCCAGTCGTACTTGCAGTCTCCGTCGCTCCCTGGCAGGGGATCGTTCTCCAGGTCAAAGGTGAGGAAGGTGAGGGTGACATCCATGCTGGGTGGCACGATGATAATGAAAGAGCACTCCAGGTTATGGGGGTATTTGTCGGGGTAGCCCGGGGACTCAATGAGGCCTGAGGGACTTGTGAAATTACGAGAACAATCTGAGCCTAGAAAGATGAGACAAAGCAGAAAGGGAGATGTAGCTTAGTGGCAGAGAAAGGCCAGATTCAGTTATAAAATAAGTGAAATGATGTTATTTTTTTCAAGAAATTGAATACTGTGAATGATCCCTTCATACATGTTTTTCTTTATTTGAAAGCTTGTGAGCTTGTGGGTAGATATTGAGTGATGTCATTTACAATAAAAAAGATTTGACATGAACCTGATTCTGGTGTTTTAGCGTGGTGTTATAAAAGATTAAAAAATAATAAAAAAAAAAACTTGGGGAATACTCCTATTAGTTACTTTTTGTACACAGCACACTTCTGCTAATCTGCTAATGTGCCATTAGTGTGCTAATTTTTCCTTAGCAGTTTAGCGGGTTTGTTAACTTTGAAAAAACTTTACATGCTTGGCTTTGTCTAAATGAATGTGCCAGATAAATTCTGAAGTGCTAATTTACTTGGCTGTTTTTATACATTTTCAGTTGAATAAAAGTCAACATCTGTGTTTTGGTTATCCATTGTCACATAGTTAGACATTTATATTAATGCTCTTATTTTGAAGTGGGTAAAAATAGCAGTTTAAGGCAGCAGTTCCATTTCCTCTCCTCAGATCTTCTGATGTTTCCCCTCAAAATGTATTTCAAACAAGAAACATACAGAAATATTATAAAACATGGGCAACAGAGAACAATATATTTATTGAATTAATGATTATGATGAGTGTTTTAGGGTAAGCGAAACTGACTTTTTAGTTAACGGTGCCCACCACCGGAAAAGTAGCTTAAGTTCTGGGAGAGTTGGCCTTCAGAAATTGGTGAAGCATGAATGGAATGTATTTTACATGACTGTCTTTTAATACGTATTCAAAAATATTAAATACCAGACAAAGAAACGGATAATCTGCAGACCGTATCAAGCATGTGGAGTACAGCAGTTCATGGGACCTTCTAGATCTACCCCCTTATTAACACTCAGATTCACACACACTATAGACTGAACACAGTCGCACCAATTGGACCATTATACCAGCTTAGCCAACCATGTGTGACCAAACCCTTACTCTCTCACAGACACACACACACACTGTCTAAGCCTCTTATTGTAACCCATTTCCCCCCAGTCTGTTTGGGTGTCTGCTATTGTACTTACATGCTTCCATAAATGAAGAGAAGCGTGAATACATCACAAAATAGTGTTTATCGTAGCAGTGGGTGAGGAGTTTTTTTGAATTTTGAACATGTCCACTTGCTGATTAAGGGCTTGAGATTCAAACTCAAAAAGAGCCTGGACTCCTTTTCTTTCAAATGCAAATGACCGCATTGATTTTCCATTGTGAGCAACAAGGCAGTTGGAGTCACAGCGTGTCTGTGGAAGTAAAGCTCGAAAGTTAAAGACTTTAATTTGATAAGGTTGCTTGGAGATCTCCATGGAAACTAGATTTTTACACAACGAGTACAGACTGACAGACGCTATAAGCGATAACCATATGTGTCTGATTTATTTAATTTTGAACATCTTGGTGATTCAGTCTTCTGTGGTTGTGACTAAAAATATTGATGTTTTCAGCCTGATATTTTCATTTGTCTCATTTGCGTGAGCGTCAGTCTTAACTACATATTGACATCTGATATTATCAGAGACAGATTTTCCACCATCAAAATGAATGAAATAATATTTTGCTGCACTTTCTGGACAGACTTTGTTTTTACTATGATCTTCTTGGCAGCGGCGTGACCTCAGTGGCAGACAAACACACGCTCACACATAAACACACTGTTTCTTCTGCGTCTGGCCCCCCTGCAGAGGCAGTCGCTGCATAGCTAGGGGGCTGCGTGACAGTCAGTAGGTGCGTGTGTGTATGTGGAGAGTGCACGCCTGACCAGTTTTGTAGCCGGCAGCGATTTTATTCCCCTCTCATTACTTCATGTTCATAGAGCCTGGAAAAAAAAACCCACTTACTTATACCCTCCTTTCTCCCGTCTTGTTCTGATCTGTCCCTTCTTTGCATTGAAAGTAACACCTATCACCACCTCATCTTATTTCCTATTGTGCTTTACTTGTATTGTATCTGTTTGAACAGGATTACTGTGAAAGGAGCAAGCTGACAGCTTGTTGCTGTATTTGTTGCCGGGTAGATCTGATGCTTATGTCTCGTTGATCTCTGGGATTCAGGACGGGGATTGTCAGCATGTCTTTAAATGATGTGTTGGCATGCAACCACTTTTATTTATTAAAGTTCAAAGGATACCACATTGAAACAAAAATAAAGTATATATATGGTTTTGAGTGCCTAGTTGTTATATAAGAAAACAAAACTAATAACCTGTTCAAAACATTTTTCATCTTTAATGAAATATATATCCCTTATAAGTCCTTATAAATTGCTGCAGTATTTCCACATATTGTTCGTTCGTCATGATATCATCTATATTGTACAGTACGTCGATTTCCCATGCAGCAAAACACCCACACAACATGCTGGCACCCCCCTACTTGAAGCATCAGCAATGAACCAGATTTGAGGATATCCACAATTTTCCTCCTGATATTTTGGCTTTTCTCATCATCACATAACACAAGGAAGGGTTGTGTGTATTGTGTTGCCTTAAAATGTTTAATTATATTTTCCTTCAAACAGGTTTGGTTGTTTTTCTGTTAAACCATGCTGGCAAAAACTGCAAAAGTTATGTTACATATGTAATAATTTTTTTAAGTTATTTGTAATAGTCTCATTATTTTGCATCATAAAAATCCTAGCATTGAAACTGGAGTTTTTGTGTCTGCTCCATGTGTTAGTTTGCAGGTTTGTGTGTATGCTGTGAGCTGACATGCACACATCCACGTACAGGTTCTTTGCAAGATAAAATCCAAATTTACAGCCCATCTTCACACATACACACACACACAAGAACACACACAAGAGCACATGCAGAGGTTATTTACTGTAAGATACCCACTGAAAGAAATGTATTACAGGCGACCACACACAGTTCACTGAAACCAGCGTGAAAACCCACAACATTTTAGAGGTTAGGATTCCACCTGGTTGTTATTTAAGTTTGAAGCATGGGCTTTTAAACTTGCCAGAAACTACCTTTCAGCATTTATTATGGCACCACATTTATTTTCCCTTTAAAAAAAAAAAAACTGCCTTTGCAGCTAAACTCCAACCATGCCACCATAAGACAATTAACAGCAAAATAATCTCACTTCCGTTTACTGAAAGTTTAAATCCAGCAATGTCTCACTGATGTAATTCATGAAGCTGTTTGAACATGACAAAATTGAGGATTTCCCTGACTCTTTCCAAAGACCGTCTTTCCTCTGTGTCTACTTCTCTGAACTGCCAGACATCTCAGCTTCAGATAGACAAAAATCCAAGGTGCTGATTTCCTCTACAGGACCATGTTCTGAACGGAACAACCAGATAAAAGAAGTTAAGAGGTGTGGATCAAAGAATGACTTGAAGTAATTTTCATGAACAATTTAATGTTTGTGAATAGTTTGAATCAGCAGCACAAAGCAAAGAGAATACACACAGTTCCAGTCCGAAGAATACTTCATCGGAGCAGGAATCCCATAACAATTTGGGGCTTTGAATGATTTACGTGAATGATTCGTTTTACTTTTTGACCATACAAAAAACAACTTGAATAGTACTAAACATAAACATCAGGTGCTATAATGTAAATTCATTCTGAATTGTATCTAATCTACCCAACAAGTCTAGCAAAACAGTAATGAAATTTGTGTTTCGTCATGTTTTTCCTTCATTTTAGTTAAGCTTCTTGGTACCACTGTCTGTTTATTTCCTGTCAAATGGTTCTATATTTGTACAAAAAATGTTTTAGTAGGTTTTGTGAAAGGCAATCAGTTCTGACATCAGCCTGATTAAATTGTCCGGAAGAAAAAAGGCTGACGTTTGGAAACCTATAAACACTGTACCAAGCATGGTGTTGGGTTAATTATGCCCAGAGTTTGAGTAGCTCCTAGTGGAGCTGGTTTTATACACACAGCAAGTTTTACCAAATTACTAAAAGTAGAGCTACAACTCACACAGAGGACTAGAGATTATTAAATTTCAGTCAGACAGTTTTCTGTTCATGATGATACAAACTTTCCTACTGAATCTAACAGTCAGGTTACTGAACAGTGGCACATATTAAATTAATGAAAATGGTTCATTTTTATGACATGAAAAGATGACATCTTCTCTCACATTCCACTGTGCCGTGGTTCAAATATTTAAGTTTTAAAAGGCCACAACTTGCTTTGATGCAGAGGAAGTAATTCTGCTATAAATGCTTGTTCTGTTATTTCAAGCATCGTTGTTTCTGCAGAGCACCTTTGGCTGGTTGCTGGGTCAGATCTGGAACCACTTTCCTCAATGGGAGCTGGAGGTGGGAGGAGGCAGCGATATGATTGGTCAGACTTACTAATAAACTGAGCTGATGAGTAGTGGGACAGAAGCGGCTAGGAAGCGCCTAAAGGCACTGGCTAGAATGTAAACAAAACTAGTTATTGGAAGGGGTTGTCACGATAACTGCCCCACTACAAAGCCCACAGAGTTTCTGTGTGGAAGTGAGATTTGGTGTAGATGGGAAATACAAAATAATAAAAAATCTCTTCACTCAGCTGAACTGATTCATATCTCATTCGGGTCAAAAGCTGCTGCCCACAGGGTGCAGTATTAATTTTAGTTTAAATATTTAAGCATCCGACAGTTCTGGGTCACTTTGAGTTCAAGTTTAATTTGCAGGAGTAAAGGTAAAATTAGAATATGTCCCTGCAATGTCCCCTTGTGAGACAAAAATAAAGAAAATAAACTGCACGTTTGCATGTGTGAACTAACATTTGCGTGCAGACATGCAAGCTGCCCCGCATTTGTCAGTAACCATCCAGCCTGCATCAGTGCATTCAAGTATGCATGTGTGTGTGCGTGTATGTGTGTGTGTGTGTGTGCGTGTGCTTGCGCGCATGCATGTGTCGAGTTCTGGGTCACAATAACATCTGGGGGAACACTGCCCAGACAGTGAAATTTGATTGGCTATCACATTATCATGCCTGCCTTCATATTGGCTGGAAATTTACTACTGTTTCTATAGTAACATGATTGTAAACAACAACAAGAAAGGCATGCCCATTTGATTTACCATTGTTTATGTGTATGTCTGTGATTTTTTTATACACCATTTTTTATTTGTGTGCATGTATCTATAAGTCTGCTACATAATTACTACAAGCCCTAACCCAAACTGGCAAAACCTTCCCAGTGCTCCCAGTAACAGACAGGAGTTGTGACAAAGACGAAGACAAAAATTCACTGGAGGGCATGAAGGTAACAAAAAAAACAAAGCCATTAACTAAAATAACAACATCACAACACATGATGCTGAAACAGAGCGACTTTGTTACAGTAACGACTCATTGTTTCCAGCTCAAGTGCAGTGGAAACTGGACAGATCAGTTTAATGGTTTTCACGCTGATTTATGTTTACAAGAGTTCCTGTTTTAGGCCACAGAGAACACTTTTTATCCAGTAAACAGCTTTCTGGGAAAGACACTTCTCACCAGTGTTTCATAAAATACAAAATGTCCAAAAGAAAAAAAAAGAATAATAATAAAAGCTTAACCATTAAATCTAGCTGTTGGATATTCATTTGCATTTAGACCCTTTGCTTCAATATTTTGTAAAAGCTCCTTTCGTTTCAAATATAACTTCATTTTTGGGGGAATCTCTATCTACTCTTAGCGCATCTACAGACTTTTGTCCAAGGTGGGGATGTTAGTTTCCTACCACACTATGTCTGGACTTTGATTGGGCCATTCTTAAACATTAATGTGCCATGATCATAATTATATAAATTTAGCTCTGGCTGTACGATTACAGTTATTGCCCTGCTGGAAGGTGAATCGCTGCCCTAGCCTCAAGAATTTTTGCAGCCTCTAACAGGCTTTTTTCTAGGATTACCCTGTATTTAGCTAGACCATCTTCCCTGTCTCTGCTGAAGAACCACCATGCTTCAAGGTGGGGATGTTAGTTCCCCATCACAACAAGCATTTGTGATGCACCACTGCAATACATGAACAAGTTGGCAGAGTAGAAATGGAAAAAAAAGAGATATAACCCACAAATTTCTGAGAAAACAGTGATTTTGGGGTTTTTGTAAAATATACTAGTTGAAGTCACAAAGAAACCACCCCATGCTTTAAATAACAGTTTCAAAGGTTTTAAAATGGTAACTCTTTGAATTCAGAGTTGTGTTAACAGAGTAAATCTGAGCTGTTTCAGTGGGTGAGGTGGGGAACTGAAAGCTGATTAAAACACTGGGACTTTATTGGCTATTCATGTGAATTTGTTTTGGTTTTGGCCAATAATTTGCAAGATAATTGTAAACACATGGCTCATTAACATTACCAACACTTTTTGGGTTGTCACTGAACACCCCCTCCAAAAAAATTGGGGAGTGCTAAACTTGAAAGGGCCATATTTTCTTCATTGGAAATCCATGCTTTCGGAATCTGTAAAGAACTCAAAACGCCATGGTGAGACTTCTTCATGGTTTTGTCATGGTCAGTCACATTTTGAACGTAGGCCAGAATTTCAATTTATGGTCTCATCTAACCAGAGCACCTTCTTTCACATGTTTGCTTTATTTCCTGGATGGCTTGTGGCAAACTGCAAACAGGACTTCTTTTGGATTTCTCTAAACAATGGGTTTCTTGTTCCTATGCTTCCACAAAGACCATGTTTGTTGAATGCGTGTCTAAAAGTTGTCCTATCGAAACATTCTCCCACCTGAACAGTTCCTCCTCAGTTACTCTGTGCCTCCTCACTGCTTCTCTGATTAACGCCTCCTTGCCTTATCTGGGAATTTAGGAGTAGGAATTTATCGTATTGTTTCTTGTCATATTAATTCAGATTTATCTTTGTCGCAATAAATTCTAATTAATGATGATTAAAACCACACAAAACTATTGTCAGGATTGTCACTTTTACAACTTTCTCCATCGTTTTTTTTTTCTTTCAACGAGAGCATCATTCCATAGAGATAGATCTTAAAGCATGGTTAAATAGTTGTGTAGTTGCATGAATCAGACTAATGTAGCAATAAATAGTTTGTATCACTTTTATTGTTACCATAAGATATTGTGCTAAAACTTCAAGTTCAAATCGCTCACCCCCAGGATGAATAAATAATGCAAGTCAGACTTTGCAGGCTTTCTACTACACAATTATTCACTATTTGTGCTGAAATTTCATCAGAAGCCCACAAAACCTTATGAAAGACAATAACTATTGACAAATACAGCTTTATTTTAAGAGCTGGCTTCTTGGAAGCAAAATATTAAGAGAAATCCGCAGTGGACCAAGACACAACAACATATTTTACATTTAAATGGTTCACGGTGAGGCTGGACAATATTTGCGACTGGCATACATTTCCAACAAAATTCACCCACACAACCAGACGTTCGGCAGCACCTTCCAGGAAAACAAGATCCTGTTAGCAGTGCGGCAACAGCTTGAATGTTCCAAATGGCTCCATCATCGGTGCCAGAGAGGGTCGGACACCAACACAAAGCTCTACAGTTAGAAACGAATAAACAGTGATCCTGTAAACACCATGTTTCCCCTCCTGATGGCGAGCTAAAAATATGGGATATTATTTAAATAAATGTACTTTCAAGCAAGATACTAGAAAGCGACAGACAAACTTGTTCCAAATCTTATTAAACCTATTTATGAAAATGTCATTCTTCCCTGCAATATGACTGTAATCTACAGCAATAAAGCCAGTGATCTAAACAATTAATAAACAAACTAAATATGCTTAGACAAGCAATTTGAAGCAAGCAGCATAGAAACAAATCAGCAAGTCTTTACGTTAAAATTTTACGCTCAAATTAAATGAGCCGATTTACAAATTGTCCTTTCTTTCTTGTTTCAGTTCTTTTTCTTGGGGTGCTGGCGTGTGAATATTGACACCAGGCTCGTTTTAAAGTCCACCAGGTCTTCATTTACGAATCAACAACACTCACACTTATACAAATGCGCTCAAGAAGTCCCAAAAGGTTGGTGCCAGCAAGTGAGAAACACCAACAACCACACGTGTTGTGTTAGTAACCTCAGCCCTCTGTGTGTGCGTGTGTGTGTGTGTGTGTGTGTGTGTTTGTGTGTGTGGGTGGATCTCAGGGGAACGGGAGCTCAGGACTCAATTAGGCCGGTATGTGAGGAATGCTTTCAGAAGGAACGGGACAAGATGGCTGTGAGGCCGCCACTGCTCGCCTCTGTGTCTCACTTGCCCTTGATCTCAATTGGTCTCGCTTCAGCTGACCCATGGCGGCGTGAAGGGGAGCCATGTCAAACACGTACACTTTTATACACACACTAAGTGTCATGATGTGAAGAAATGACCTGCCTGGACATGCTGGAGGGCCCTCAGGGGTCCTCCGCTGTGTCTCCTGATGCCTTCCCTCTGACTCCATTTACACCAGGGAGACAAACAAGGCCTGATCACCTAATGAAGCATGTTTAGTCCCCTTGTAGCTTGTTATGATAGCCTCTTGTAAGATGCATTGTATTCATTCATTTACAGTAAGGATTCTTCATTTCTCTGGACCGAAAAATTGAAATTCCTTTAAAAAAATCTAATATTTTGACACAATTTAAGACAAATTTCCTTGTTTATTTTCCACAAAAATAAAACTTCTGTGTTTATTCACATAAATGTGTGTTAATACCATCCTTATGATTAACATGGTTTGGGAGTGGTGGGCAGAGCCAGATTTGCAAGGATGTAGGGCCCTGGGCAGAAGCCAGTTTTAGTCCCCTATCCACTAAGAGAAGTATCTCTTTACTAATGCAGATTACAGTACATTTATACAATTGTACTGTAAAAAAAAAAAAAAAAAAACAGGGCCCTGGATTACTGCTTCAGTAAAACCTTAGGTAGCTTTGACTTACCTGTTTTGTGTATTTCATAGCGCAGTGAGAAACCCGCCCCCTGCTGGGCGTAGTCCGACACAAACTTGATGTGAAGAGATGGGCCAGACGATATGATTGGTGCAGGGGCAATGTTGCTGCAGTGCTTTCCCAGGAGGTCGGCTGACTCCGAGTTCCCATCATGGATCTCTACATAGTCATACCTGCCAAAGACAAACATGTCCTGATAAATCAGATCTATTAAGATGGAATAACTGGACTGTTACCATGAAGAGGAGATGGATGGATAAAGTTTCAGATTAAACTCCAAAATAGCATTGCTCATGCCTAAAACATTAGGTGCTCTTTCGTTGGGGGAAAAAAATGCTTATCATTTAAAAGTACATTCTAAAACACCATGAAAGATGAACTCTCAATAAATGCAAGCAGACAGGATGCTGGGAATTGTTTTCTACTATAAAAGGACTTTACTGACAAGAAATCTATTTCTATTCCTGTTTCTTTCATGTTTTTTGACAACAAATGTTAAGGTCTATCTGTGGACTCACAGCAGGAGTGCTGCCTCTGTGTCTGGATACCAAAGGCACACCTGCCTGCCTCTAAAATAGCTTCCTGGGAATAAATTCCTGGAGGGAGTTATAAAGGAAGGCTTTAACGTTTGATTCTAACTGAAACACGGTCCTTCACAATTAAGGGTTTTTCTTAAACTAAAGCAAAACATTTGGGGTGAACTTTACCTGGATGCTTGTTTACAGCATACCAATCACTCCTGACCACATCAGTGCTGAATCATTTTTCCTACTCTGATCTTCACACATTTTATTGAAGCTTGTGCACCCTTGAATTCCTGCGCCGTTAAAGAGCTACTTATGACTTTATTGCTGTTAAAAATATCATCCACCAGCAACTCTGGTCATTAAAATGACTCACCATATGAAGGTATCATGTGCCTCTGGATAATAAAAGTTAAGCTCATGGTAAGCTGCTGCCACATTGCACACATATTAAAAATACATGAATATGAAAAGGGTGTTAATCTTTTCACTATTTGTTAACGGGCGTTTGTCACACCTCCCCTTTTTTAGAGGCAAACATGTTTATGCTGGAGTTTGACATGTGAGTAGAGAGTTAAACCTTAGTTAGAAGGTTTATGCCATTCAGACCAAATTGGAAAAGAAACTACAGTCAGAACAAAAAGATCTGTACTTTGGTCTCATAGAGCCAAAAAAGTTGAGTAGTTCTTCATGCTGAAGTCACGATGTCATGCATCCTATAGAGAAGAGTTTTTCACCTGACAAAACTTCTTAAAAAGCAACTTGTTCTGTTTTGACATGTGGAGAGGTAAATATTATGACAAGAATCTGACTGAATACAATCTGAGTGCTTAGGTTGACTTAATACCGAAGGCTAGATCTGGAACTGCAGAGAGAGAGACATAGAGAGAGAGAGAGAGGCAGAGAGAGAGAGAGAGAGAGAGAGAGAGAGAGAGAGAGAGAGAGAGAGCGAGCAGCAATCTGAAGCACTGAGCAAAAATACTGGTTGAATCAGAGAATACAGAAACTGGCTAAAATAAACATACACAGCATTTAATGTCATTCAACTGTACTTTCAAAATGTATATACTGAGCACCATTTTGTTGCAAGAACACAGAAACTAGAAATAGAAAAAAATGACAAATTATCTGCAGAAAAATTAAGAAACCAACATGTAAGAATGTATGAAAGACTGAAGTTTCTGATACAGAACCACATGACTCAACTCCAAACCAAACTCAAGTGCAGGAATATCTTTTTCTAACCGTCTTCTCCTGAATTATAATATTTCACATACTAACTGGGTCTCACTGACCTGTTTGCTCGAGATAAGCGCACTTCTCAAAGTGATCCTTTTGTAGACATTTACAGACATACAGAGACATACATGCTTTCTTAAATCTTATGGAATGAGCAAAGGTCTATTCACCCAGCTTTTCAATTTCAATACCATTTTATCCAATTACATAACTACATGGCAGAAACGTTTCTGTATTTGTTCACTTTTGAGTTTGAACTTAAATAATTTCACTAAACAATATATTTTACTGGGACAATAATATTAGGTCATCCCTTAAGTATGACTGAAAACTGAGGTATTTTATGCAGCTTTACCTTTATTGACATTAATATGCATGGGAAAGAAAACACTAAAAGCAAAACATGGTTACTGTTGTTTATTTCTAATCAAGTAGTATTTCTTTTATGCATGACAGGTAAATTCACATTTTCGGATGGATAAAGTGATCATTCCTGTCAAATCAGAAAAACAGTACAGATATCCGGCGTGAACTAAAAACCCACCAGATCACTGATCACTTTCTAAAATGCAGCCAAGAATAGATGTTTTAGCTGTGCCTCTACCTGTGCGTGAGTCTCTGTTTGTTATCATCCTCCTCTTTGTGTCTCATCTGACAGGTGAGCAGCCTCCCAACATGATGAGGGTCACAAACCTCTTTCCCTCCCACCATGTTTCAGGCAGAACCCCGCCCCCCCCATCAGATTTATGGTGCAGACTGTCACTGTGCATGCATGTGTGTGCTTCTGCAGTGGGTGTGTCGCAGCTCCTGTCATATATTTCCTAAACCAACGTCTCATTGTCGTGACAGCTACCCACACCTCTTTTGTGCAATGACAACTCCTTCTCTAATTATTCTTCAGTGTGCTGCGTGTTATTTTTTTCTAGTTTTTCTGTAAATTAATCTTGAGCTGCTAACACATAATATTAGCTCCGTCTAAAGGTGCAAAGGCAAAACTTATAGCCAATGAGCTTCAAAGGTGGCCTATTGTGCTTCCTTGAACAGGTTAGGATGGATCTATGGGCTAGATCAAACATGTTCATAACATTTTTTGCACAAAATCATTCTCAGAAAATGTAATTTTAATCTGATCAGTTCTGCTTGCTTGCAACTCATTTCAGAATTAACTTTTTGGATCCTTTTGTCACTTTAAATCCAAATAGTCTGCTGCTGGCCGCCCAACTCAACCTTTACACTCACACATGAAAATGGCTGCAAACAGATGCACAATCATACAACCATGCATCTTTGAAAAGCAGACATGGAGCCTCCTGCACAACCAACAAGAATGCAGCAAGAGGTTTCTGGATGGTAAGTCAACAACAAAACACTTGTCTTTTCCAGCAGCCATTGTACATCGCATACAGAGGTATAAACCATCTTAACAAACATGCCACAGTTCAGCTTGGGAGGTGACAAGCTAGATAAAAGTGGGGTTGCTAGGTTAGAGACAGTTTCTGCTAGTTTGTTACATTACATTACAAAAGTTTTTGAAATGGTTCATTTTCTAGACACCAAAAATTAATGACTTTTTTAAACAGTTGGGTTGTTTTTAGAAGCAGTAGAGATCCACATGGAAGTACAAAAATTTAAAAAATTTGAATTTTGCCTAATATGTCTCTTTTATGATTTATCTTTCACTTGACTGTATCCACACTGTCTTCCACACATCGCAGAGAAGGACGAGCGTCATCCTCACCTTTAAATTTATGCCTTTAAGAAAAAAAAAACCCCAACAACTTCTAAGACCTCCATTCACACAGCCTGTTCATGCTGATGCAAACAAAGCTTGTGGTTTTACACAAGGTTCTTCCGAGGGGTTTGAGATTTCCAATCCATGCATGCGTGGGAGGTACACCGCTTCTAACAAACTGTTAAATCCCATCATCGCTCCCGTTTTTTGCTCTTCTTTCCCCAAATATACTCTACTGTAGCCAATCCCTGATGTACCGAGACTCGCCAAAGGCCATCAAAGACCTTCAAATCTGATTCTCCCACACTGTTCCCCTAAAATTAATCTACTGGAAACAAGTAGCAAGGTTTTTAGTGATTCTCACGTTAAATGGAGAAACAATACACGTTAGATCCAAAACAAACTGTCAGAGAAGGTCTGAACCGGCGTGACAGTTTGGATTTTTGGAGATCTATTCATCTGTGTTTGTGGAATTGAGTTGAGTTTTTTTAGAGCATGAAAGCTCATAAAAGTCTGTCAAATGAACTTTCACACTTCCTGTATTTTTAAAGGTCAGGGAATGGAAAAAGATCTGGGCCACCGAAAAAATAAAAAATAAACAATTATTTGAATCCTGGAATTGTTTAAATTGTTTATCCACCATCAGGCAAATCTAGTCTTAAAACTCGAATCCGCCTAATAAATACGGGACATTTCAGTGTAGATAACAGGCAGGTTTACAAATCCTATAATAAGGAAGAAGCCCTGATTATTAGTGATTATTTTCATGTAACATAATTGGCATTGACACTTGATCATTTTTGGTAATTTTTTTAAATTCTGACATAAAAAAGTCAGAATTCTAAGGAAAAAAAAGTCAGATTAAAAAAAGTTTGGATTCTAAGACTTAAATCAAATTGTTGTTGTTGTTGTCCATATCAGGGTGATGGTAGAGGCAAAACAATCTAATGTGCAAAAAAGACTTCCCTGCTAAGATACTTGTAAAGATGAGAATTAAATTAATTAAAACTCTCATTTGACCAATGAAAACTGTCCTAGTTAAATCTTCCTAAACACCTAACGGCTGTTATGGAGATGTGATGTTATTCTCCTGTAGTGATAGTTGGAAATGTTTTTACTTCGTTGACCTGACAGTGTGTGGCAACTAAATAAGTTGGGGTTTTCATCCTACACATTGGTCAGTGGCTGTCAGAAATAGGCAACTGCATGTTGTCAGGGAAAGAAAAAGTCATTTACTATTGATTGTATGTTCAAAGATATGCAAATTAACTTAAAAAAAATAGATACGGTAAATGAAGATACAAATGTTTCAGCTACATTTGTTTTAAATAATAGTATATTCAATAATTACATTATGCCACTTATGATTTTCTTGAAAGCTAAATTCCAATGGCTGTTCTTCTTCATTCAAATTATAGGTTGCTCTCTAAATTTTTCAGTGTGAAATTATGCTGCTGCCAAAATAAACCCCCTTATTTTAAGCTTTTAAACACATCTTTACTACATAATTACTCTGTGTCTGGATTCAAAAATGTGCTTCAACTAAGAACATATTTTTTGCAGTAATAGCTTAACCGTTTGAGATCAATTTCATAAAATAAAATTCAGAAAAACTTAAAAAGTTGAAGAAATCAGCTGATACACACCCTAACAATACTGGTTATTGAAGCAGGTCAAA